ATGTTTCTAGTTTTTTTTTGGTTTTTTTTTTTTTTTCAGTCTTTTTGAGACAGGGTCTCCCTGTAGCCTCAGCTGTCCTGGAACTATGTAGACCAGGCTGGCCTTGAACTGCCTCCCGAGTGCTGGGATTAAAGGCGTGCGCCCCCACGCCCGGCTAAAAAAAAAAAAAAAAAAAAAAAAAAAAAAACAAAAAAACTCTGTTTAAGTAGATACGGGGGCGGGGGGAGCACTGCCACACATTCTTTCCAAAGATGATGGGTTCAAGAACAAGAATAGCGTAGTTGACCAATTCTGAAATTGCAAAAGGAAAGCAAAAGGAAAGAAAATGACTCTTAATTCTGTTATATTCCAGCAAAAAAAATATTGTGGTTAATTGACACCTTTCTTCTTTGCTACTTGATGAATTTCTGTAACCTCTTGATTATTCTTCTATCATTGAATTTTATGGGCCATTCATCCTTACAACTAGCCTTGTTAAAATAATAGCTCAGTGACTATGAAATGCATTTATAGTACATAATTATAAAAGGTATGTGACAAGAGAGCTGTGCTGAGTTATACTGGGTGATGAAGCAATCCGGGTAAGGATATGGAAGCAGAGCTCATAAGAAGGCCCATGTGCTTGTTTTGTTCTATAATTAATAGGCAGGCCCCTTTGCTCTCACAGTGATTATACTATAAAGCATCACTAACTTTAGATTCACAATTTTTTTGTGAATCTGCATATTCTGATTAACTTTGATTCTATTTTACTTGCTATGTGCTTTACAAAACAGCTGTAAAATGAGCAGGTGAGGAGAGCGGGAGAGGGGGGTTTATAACCGCTAGAAGGCTCTCAGAGACCTGATAGCGTGTCCTTGTCTTTTATAGCCATGGAAAGACACACAGAAGGTGATTTGTGTGAGGCCATGCTGCTGGTCAGAGGCAGAATCAGGATTCAGTTTTGGTCTTTATACTCTATCAGCAACCCCAGTAAAAGACCCTGAGATGAGCTCTAGGGCCTAGTCTCATGATAAAAGACAATTTAGGAATGAGTCAGAAAGCAAAAAAGGAAACAGGGAAAGGGGACTAGTATTGGTTAACATTTTATAATTTATGGCCCATTTTCATTTCTATTATTTTTCCAACAACCTTTTGAGACAGGTATTTTCCTTATTTTATAAGTGGAACAATGGATTCCAACAATGATTTGCCCATGATTGCACAGGATGTCAGCAACAGAGCCAAGTCTTACTTGAAATTTTCTATTTCTCCTACTCTAACAAAGAGGTGTGCTCCTGTCTAAGGATGTAGGAATAGGCTGTGTCATTGAGGTATCCATGACTAATGGTCTGTGTCAAGGAAATAGGTAAGAAATTCAGAAAAGATGAATGTTTGACTACTGTGCTCCATCTTCCTCTGACTCCTGAGATATAAGGTGCCTAAGTCATACCCCCACTCATATGTATTCTGGGGTTAGAACCGAAGACCTTATGCATGCTAGGCAAGTGATCACTGAGCTATATCCCTAGCCCTTACTTTTTCGGGAGTGTATTTCTTTGTAGCCCAGGCTTGCCTCAAACTTAAAATTCTCCTGCTGGACTCCACTGCCTGAGTGCTGGAATCACAGATGTGCACCATCATACCAGTCAAGTTTCCATAACTGAGTATCTTCAAGGCCCAGTGGATGGCAGCCCTTTGCTTGATTATAAGGTGCCACTTTAGATGGCTGTCCTTAATTTCTACTGGCTGCAGCAATGTCAGTCACTCACAATATCCATCCTGTGACAGAGGCTGTCTGTATGAAGTATTCATACCACAGTTGAGATGAAAGTTAAGTGTCTTTCTGATCTACACATAGAAGTGTTGTGAAACCAAATAAGACCCACAAGTGTCAGCACTAGTTTCAAAATTTCTAGATATGGCTATAGGGATATGATTTTATTTATTCTTTTCTCAGTAAAGGTTACAGCACTGTCTATTGTTTTGGTTTTAAAGGGCCAACCCAAAGCTAGTGAAGACTACAGAGAGGCTTCTTGTGCAGTCAACCTTGTCTTAAGATTAAGGTAAATAATACTATTGCTCATTTTACATCTTTTATCTATAGTACAATATTCTGACCTCTTTCATTAACTTTTCATAATATTAGGATAAAATGAAATTAACTTTTTGATTTCTCCTAACAACAGTGTATGCCATATTTCCAGAACTAATTGCACCTTTTCATTGCTTGTGAAAGATGAATGAGAACAAAAAACACCGTTTGAGAGTGGCTGTAGGCTTCGTGCCCCTTCATTACGTTTTTCCCCTGCCTTTTCTTTGTTTTTTTTTTACTTTCTTTTTTTTCTTTTTAACAATGTAAGATCACAGTAAGAGATTTTTAATGAGTTTCTTTCACACTCCAGCAGTCAGTCTCTGACAGAAATAAACCATGCTTGTACTACAAGTTGCCTGTTCAGAACATTTTTCAGTGGCAGGTTTGATCAGCCACTGTGGAGAAATGACAGATATATTTTGAAAGCACTTTCATTCTTCTAGGAAATGGATACAAATATGGTACCTGACAGTCCATAGCCTAGTGAATGAAAGCTGTTTCTATTTTAAGAAATTTTGAACGGAAAGGCCCACATTTGCAGATCGTCTTTGTTAAGAATGTGGTATCTCAAGAGTAAAGAAAATTGGTTAAACCTAATTGCAGACAACCTACTTTACTAGGTCAGTGTAAATGCTATCCCATTTCTGAAGGTGTTTGAAAATGTTATATGCTCTTCTGACAGTTACCCATATAAAACATGTGGTTAATGGACATGTTCATGGCTGTGGGAAAAGTGAGTGTATAGTTGAAGTCAAGGTTAGTTTCCAGCCCAAGGAGTTATCTTAGTCCTTTTGGAGAAATTGTTGTTGCTATGAGCATCCCTTCCTTCTGATGGTCATGTACAGTCTCTGTGTATTTTCACATACCTCCTAGGAGATCCTCCCAGGAGCCCTGGGTGAGATTCAATTCAGAGTGGATTTTCCAGCCAAGACGTGAAAGTATTACAAGACAATAACTTTGATTAGTATATACAATAAGTATATTTAGCAATTTCAAAGAATGAATTAGACTGTACCCTTTCTGCCTTAGGAACCAGATACTTCATTTATTTTTCACTTGGTCACTTATTTATTCAGTTAATTGATATTTATGAAGAACCTCACTTTGTGCCAGGAGCTCTGTGTCAGACTCAGCATCCATTAGAGTTTCACAAATGTAAGACCAGGAGTCTGCAGTTTAGACTCAGAATACAGTGTTGTAATTGACCTTTGACATCCATTGATCCAGCCTTCTAATTCCTGAATGCTGGGATCTTTTACTTAGTTCTCTTACTGAATGTTTGATCGCTTCTGAGCATACTTCGGCCATTTTTCTCCATGGTCACCTTTTTGGTGCTTCGTTTTATTGATGCTTCCTACTGAAGATGTAACTAACCGTCCTGTTTTGGGCTCTGTGGGCTTCATTCCTGCTCTTTGATGTGTGCCTCAGATTTTCAGGATAAATGTCTCATGGACAAAGTGTCAAAATACCTGATCTTTATCTATAGACATTATTTTGCATTAATTATCAGAATAATATGATACAAAAACATTCTGTCATGTTGTTGAGAGTTGTTTGAATATTTGCAAGGCTTGCCCTCTTTCCCTAGACAGAATGTGGCAAGTTTCTTTAACTCAGCTTCCTGTGATATCCTTCCACATTGCCCCCTGCTTTGGTTGTTCACCTGTTTTTAACATTTAGTGATCTCTGTTTTGGTCGTTTTTGTTGTCATGGATCTAGGTTGTCATATTCATAAGTTTGTGGCATAGATAAGAAGACCTCCAAGATGCTATGTAAAATGGCCTCTGTGTTTGAATAAAGCTCAGAAATAATGCTTACTATCCATTTATACATGTACACCACACACATTTGGGAAATAGTATATTAATCATATTAAAATATTCTAAGTCATTTAGAAGAAAGGAATTTAATTTGGTTTAATCTACATCTCATTGACCTCAGAGCTCCTTTCATGTGATTATTCTCCAATTTTACCTTTGTCCCTTTGAATGTATCATCCATATTTAAATGCAGGACTCCTGATGTGGTCTGAGTGGGCTGGAACACAGTAGTAAGGACACATGATTTTTCCCAACTCACACGTTATAGTTCTCATGAATCAGCTTGTTTCCATTGCCTTCTGAAATATTCATGTGTGGTGGTAACAAGTTCAGCGTGATTCAGCAGCACTTCCAAAGAGCTGATTTTGTTTTTTCCTAAACTTAAGTCTGAACTGCAACTCATGTTTTAAAACTCTAGAGGTGACTTATTTTCCACCATAGCAATTGACCTGTTAAGATTTTTTCAGATTAATTTATTTTTATTTAACTTCTTTAATGTATGCTTCTGTTTTATCCATTTTAATTGAATTTTTCATATTTCATACAATATATTTTGATCATATTTAGATCTGCTCCCCTATCTGCATCCCTACCCAATTTCGTCATGAGTGTGTGTGTGTGTGTGTGTGTGTGTGTGCCTATAGAGTCAAATTTCTGTCCCTAAATGTCATGTGTATTTCGCTTTGTTTACAGTGCTACCCCAGAGTTCACTCCTATTGAGAGGGCTTTAAGTCCAATTAGATAGCTATTGATTACCCCCCAGATAACACTGCCACAGTAGAGGTAGTTTGCTCTGCTGGTCATTATGGTTATTAGGCTTCAGGGCTGGGTTGAACCATTGATTGATTTTCTCCCTTAGCAGCTTGCATAGTATCATCTTTTAATATTTACCCAAAATATTAACATTTTCAGTAGCTTACTACTTATAAGAAGCTATTCACTTTAAAAGAATGTTTTATTTATTTGTTTATTATTTATTATTTTCTGTTTGTGTCTATGGTGTATGTGTGCACACATGTAACTGTGAGTCTGTTCACTTGCATGGGCATGTGGAGTCTATAGGTGGACATTAGGAATCTTCCTCAACTTGCCCAAGTTATTTATCTATTTAATTAATTAATTTTTATGTGTATGAGTGTCTTGCCTGCATTTAAGTGCATCGACGTCATGCAATGCCTACAGAAGCCAGAAGAGGGCATCGGACCCCCTGGAACTGTTAGAAGCAATGTTGGTGCTGGGAACTGAACCCATGTCCTCTCAAGAGGAGCCAGTGCCCTTAATCACTGAGCCATCTCTCTAGCCCCTACCAAATTGTCTTTTGAGATAGGGTCTCTAACTGAACTAGGAACTTGCCATTTCTGATAGACTGGCTGGCAAAAGAGCCCCTGGAACCTACTTATCTTTGTCCCCACTACCAGTCCTGGGGCTATAGACACGTGTTGCTGCACCTAGCTTTTATACAGTGCTGTGGAATCCAAGTTCAGGTCTTCACGCTTATGCAGCAAGCACTTTATGTACTTAGCCATCTCCCTTTCCCTAAAATGCTTTATTTGTAAATGACACCTATTCATGTACTACAGTGTGTGTGTGTGTGTGTGTGTGTGTGTGTGTGTGTGTGTGTGTGTACTATTGGAGTGTTAGTCTGCTCAATACATCATAGACAATGCCATAGATTGTGTGGTTGTAACTGTAGAAGCTTGATTTTCCATAGTTGTGGAAGGTAAAAGTCAGAACTCAGGGTACCAGATGTAGTGGGCCATCTTCTTGCTGTGTTTTCACAATGTAGGGATCGTGAGAACAAGGTTTATCATTTCTTTCATCCCACCTTCATGGCCTCATTTAAAACCTACCTACTTCCCAAAGAATCCATGTCTAAATACTATCACATTAGGGGGTGGGGCTCAACATGTTGCAAACTGAGGCAGGGGGCTGCACAGTAGAGTGCAGCTGGCATGCTTTCTTTCTCTAAATGTTTTCAGGTCATTGTTTTTCATATTTGTAAACGCATGAATCTCAGAATATATTGTTGTACCTATTAGGGACAGAGGGGAGATATCATTATTACTTCAGTAGAGAAGTATAGTTATATTCATAGTTATTTTTGAGATCAGTCTGAGTTAATAAAGGCTAAATGTATTCATTCTGTAGATATTTATTGAGCACCTGATACATGCATGACACTGGCCTAGTTACTGTAATAGTGGTAGAAAATGGACAAAATGAATTTCTTGTCCAGAAGGAATTCACATTCTAGGTCAATGGAGAGTAAAAATTGAAGTATTCAAATTCCATATATCATATATCAAATTCTCTGAAGGGAAAAAGAAAAGAAAAGAAAGTAAGGGGATGTCAGTCTATATCATTGAAGATATTTTAGTTGTATGTTGCTGTGTAAAAAGTTACCAAATTTGGGGACCTAAAACAACTTACTGCTTCATCCTGTCTGTAGGTCAGAACTGTTAGCACAGCTTTCCTGGGCGTTTTTTTCCTTGTTTTACAAAGCTGAATTTGAGGTACCGTCTACTAGACTTCAGGTCCTTTTGTAAGCTCACTTGGGCTGTTGACCAAATTTAGTTCTTTGTAGCTATAAACTGAGGCTCTCAGTGACATCTCATTCTATTTATCTGTCCTATTCATACCAAAGGAAGAGGCTTAGGAGGTAGACCCTGTGCACCAGGGAATAGAACTGATAGGACCATCCCAGAGTTCTCCCTGCCCTATAGGACCTGTCTGAGTTGATATTAGACCACACAGAACCTGGTAGAAGTTTGAAATCAAGACATGAGACAAAGTAAATGTAGTACTTTGCAAGGGTTCTTTTCAGGAAGCATGTTGTGAGTAGGTATTAAACTGCCAGGAAGCCAGTATTGGCAGAGTAGTAGGCAGGGGCTGAGGTCAGAGTTATCGTGGGAGCACCATCATACAGGCTTTGTATATAGCTTCTAGTGAAGCCTTTCCTTTCATTGTTATAGGATCAGAACCTTTAGGAAGCCTGTGAGTAGAAAAGTGATATGATGAGGTAAACCTTAACAAGATTACTGCAATTGCCTTATAGAGAACAGAGAGAATAATTGAAATGAGAAAAAAGAAGAATATTTTTAATGGCTTGGCATGGTGGCTTATCCCTATAGTCCCAGTATTTGGGAGACTG